CACCCTGTGAGGTAGACGGGACAGAGAGAGCTTTGAGAGTACTGTGATTGACCCAGGGTCACCCAGATGGCTTCATGGGGAAGAGTGGGGAATCAAACCCAGTTCTTCAGAATAGAATCCGCCACTCTTAACCACTACACCAAACCGGCTCTCCCTGAACCACAAATCTATATTGAGATTATTATCCTTTCTAATAATCAATCTCTTAACAGGTAATCAGCCCTCTGACCGAAGAGAAGTCAGAAATTTGTTTATTCCAGGTGTCAAGTTAAAACCTTGTATCCCAGCAAAGATCACACAATGTTATCTATTACAGGTTTTTTTAAATTTAAAAGCAGTCTAATTATTCTTGAAAATGATCAAATATAAAAGAATCACAATGATACAAAAAAACACTTGCATATGTCAATGAAATTAGAAATAAAAAGCATGCATGTCATCTCCCATGCTACCTATCTTAAAGTTAAAAGATAAAATACAACTCAGATTCTCATCAAAGCGTTTTCAGAAAACAATGAATAGCCTCACCACAACCCAAATCTGAGAGATTCAGAGGTTTTAAGGTGTGGCTGTTTTTTATATGTTCATTGATGGTAAACTCACATGACTATATTAAACCACTTAATTCATTTCCTCTGAAGGCACGAGTAAGACAAACTCTGAGCACAGAATGAGAGTTTCCCAAAGAATGCTTGTTTCAAATTGTGCTCAGTTTGTTTTTGGATTATTCCAGGCATGAAGTTACTTATTCATGCTCAAGGATGGGAGAGTAAGAACATTGCTGAAACAGATCCATGTACATGTTTGCAGATTTGAAAACTGAAAGCAAATTTACAGGCTTATTTTGTTCAAAAATCTATACCATTAAACGCAGTTTGTAACACACTGGAAAATGCTTTTTGAACAATCAAAGTTTATGCTGTCTACCAGATTGCCCCCCAACAAACACTGTTTAAGATACCCTGAAAGAATGCTAAAAGGTTAGTAAAGCTATACTGCCCTTTGACGAAGCCGTGCTGCTGGTTCCACAACAAGGCTTGTCCTTCTGTTGCCCCAATTCAATCCAGTAGGGCTTATGCTCATGGAAGGTGGCTTCCATGTGCTTGGCTGCATGAGGAAACATGCATGCAGATGTGTGATGAGCATGTATTCCTCTGGATTTAAATTCCAGTTCCGGAGTTGACCCTAAGGGCTGAACTACATGATTTTGTTTTTGTTTTTTAATGAGTTGGGTCTGCATTTCCTGGATGCAGCTCTTTCCCCCCACAACAGATGAAAGGACTGCAAGAATCTGACTCGGCTTAGGACTGTGACATGGGTGAGTGGCCCCTGCCTTCCTTGCCACCCCATTCTCCCAAACGGAAACAGTTGGGGTGGGGGAGAGTTTTTGGACCCATTTTGGAGGCAGTGCTCCCATGGCCCTTTAAAAAGCAGCTCCCTGCAGCTGCTGTGGGGAAAGCGAGCTGGGCCCGGACAACTCAGACCCAACTTATTAAAAACGGTCATGTAGTTTTGGTACCAAGGATGCACTGCCCCAGGCAGCTGGTCAGCAGTAGTGCCAATCATCCATTTGCAGGGAGGACTGAATCCAGTTCTCTACCTCAGACTCCCAACTGTTGACAATATTGCTAACAATCTGATGGCAGCCTGGGAACACATGTTGCATAATGTTTGATGAATAGACGTTGCACAGTTAGGGGAACAGAAAAATGTGTGGAAAGGCTTTGTTTTCCAGTGTCTGGGAGCAAGAGAATGCTTACACTGCTAGTGAAGTGTTTTGGGACTGCAGGCCAGAAGGTCGGTAGTTCAGCAGTTCGAGACCCTAGTGCCGCATGATGGAGTGAGCTGGCGTCTCTGGACCCAGCTCCTGCCAACCTAGCAGTTCGAAAGCAAGAAATTGCAAGTAGATAAATAGGTACCACTTTGGTAGGAAGGTGACAGCTTTCTGTGCACCTCAGCATCTAGTCATGACAGCCACATGACCACGGAAACGTCTTCAGACAGCGCCGGCTCTTCGGCTTGGAAATTGGAAACGGAGATGAGCACCGCACCCTAGTCGGATTTGACTGGCTTTCAAGTAAGGGAAACCTTTACCTTTTACCTTACTGTTGAATTGTGTTTAGGGACTTAGGGGCTGAAAATTAATTTTGGGATGGGGAAAAGACTGGATGTCATTATTCCAACAATCATGGGTCAGGGGGGAATGGTGGTGGGAACTGGATGCACCAGAGAATCAGATTAGGCCGCTATAGGGGCTCCCCGATCCCTTTTTCTGTTCCTTTCCTTAACCTTAGAGATCTGGCTGCCACGCCAGAGACCCGGTGAGTCTTCAGGTACTGCTCTGAATACGAGGTCAGTGAATGGAAGGCCAATTGCCATTTAAGATTGGATCCTGGAGAAGCAGGCCAACTTGCCATATTTATTTATTTTATTTACATTGGATTTATATACCGCCCATGACCCCTAACGGGTCTCAGAGCGGTTTACAGAGTACTACTAGTGTAGTAGTGGTTAACCTACCTAGGGCCACATATTTCAAGGGAAGGGGGACTACCTACCGACACCCTTACTGGCGGCGTGTTTCTATCTTATTTTTCCGGCAGGCTGCGGGTATTGTTCTGGCTTCTTTTTGGGGTTGCCGGTGACCACCTCTGGCAGGCTCGATGTTCCGTCTTCGGCGTGTGACTGCTCTTTCCGGCTGCAGCTTCCGGCTTGCGTCCTTCAGGCTCTTGCCGTGCTGCGCTCGCAACGCCGTGACTCCGCCTCCATCAGATCTGGTCGCCAGGAACTCCGCCGCCATTGTTGTTGCTGCAGCCATCTCCGTCCTCGCCGCCACCGCTACCGCCAGCACTCCTGGCACGGAACTAGGAGGTGGGTGCCCCCTGCCGCCTAGGGCAGGTACCCATTTATCTACTTGATTTACCTTTCGAACCGCTGGGTTGGCGGGAGCTGGGATGGGGGCCGGAAGCTCACTCCGACCGCGGTGGGGATTCGAACAGCCATTGAGGCTGTTCGCTACAGATGTTACAAGCAGGCGTTGTACTGCCCGCGCCACACTTAAGAAATCTGGATGGATGTGGCTAAGGGGCCATCTTCCTCTGCTGTGGACTGGCCTCTAGGTTGCTCACTAGAGCATGAAGCCACACCTGGCGGCAGAAGAGAGGATGGCTGTCATAGTTTAATGGTATTTTTATTTTACAAAGTGCTTATTTAGCCAGTCTTCTAATTGCGAACATCGTGGTATGGGTTAAGAATTCTGTTGGTGGGCTGTCCCCATCCAACAGTCCCCCTACCTGACCTGATGGCATTAGATTTGCAGCTGGAATTCCCTGGACTAGTGATTCTGGAACCTCGTGTACAATGAAGTCTTAGCAGCTCAGGAATTCTTGGTGACCAGGACTACTATGGTCCTCTTTCAGTAACCAGCCCCACTGCTTACAGTGGGCGACATGCTTGATTTGATTTTCTGTTCTGGCTGGGCAATCTGGGGGGTTGGGCAAGTTTTGAATTAACTCTGTTGGTCTGGGCAAATGTAGAAAAATGGGAGTCCCACAACCCAACAGAGCTGGCGAACCGCTCATGCTGAAGCTTATCAAACACAGGCTGAAGAGCATTACAGAGCCTTCATTGTAGCAGTGAGAGCCATAGTTCACTTTCCTACCATCACAGTATCCGTACAGTGTACAGTGCCTTCGAACAACACTCTTCAAATCACACAGTAAGATGCTCACACACCCTTAACATCCAAATAAAGAGACGAATCTAGTGCTTGCTGTGAGCAATTTTCTAAGCACTTTGTAAATAAAACTGGTGGTTAACTACTCTTGTAATGAGCTGGATTCTGGAGTCAGTGAGTAGAGGACTGAGTGTAGACAGACAAGCTTAACGTTGACAAGATGGAAGTTCTGTTGGCTCAATGACTGCACTGATCCACATGGTGGTCTATTAGATGGGGTGGCATTCCTCCCAGAACAGTCAGGTTTACCGCTTTAGGATACTTCTGAATTGAGCTCTGCTTCTGAACATATTGCAGAGGTGACCAGAAAAGATCTGTCAAGTTAGCTCCCGCAGCTGATGAATCAGACTACCTCTGGAGGGATCAAATCTGGCCATTGTTATATGTCTTATGGACCTCAGATTGGAGGATCATCTCTACTGCGGGGCTACATCTGAAATGTGTGCAATAACTGTAAGATTCCTAAAAGGGGCCTATGGGGGGAGGGGAATTTTATTTATATACACACACGACTGGCTAACAACATACATATATACACACACACACACAGCCTGCATATCCATAGAGCACCATTAGCTGCCTACTTGTTGCTGAATACACATGAAAAGCGCTGGTGATGACCTTTAAAAATGGACCAGGATCCTGAAGGACGTGCCCAATTGTATCCTGAGGCCTTCCACGGGGACCCTTTGCTCTTTCTACCTTCACAAATGGACCCATGAAATGGGCTTGCAGAGTAACATGAGCCTCAACTGCAGAGTGGCCTCCCACCAGATGCTCATTTAGTCAACTCCAACATCTGGATGAGACACTTCAAAAAGCATTTTTAGTGTCTGTTGGTACTACTGTCAGGACTACTAGTCTGATCAATGGAGTATTTCAGTACTCTGCTGTTGCTCTGGACATTGAGATTGACGCAACTGATTTGCTAGTTTTAAATTGTCTTTTTAGAATGTGTATTATTAATACATACTGCAGCTGGGGGCACATTGAGCCCAAATAATAAGAACCATCCTGAAAAACAGGAGATTTTTCAACACACTTTTTAGCCCAAAGTCAATGACTTAAGTTCACTGAGAATTAAAGTGGAAAGAAAACATGTATTTTTCCCCTGAGGGCCATTTATAATGTTAATGCTGCTTTCCATTATTTTAGCAAGACAAAGTGAGTACGGCAATGCTCTGGCACCATTACACAGGCACACATGTACATAATATTGATGTTACATGGGTAACTTACCAGTTCTCCAACAAGGAGGCTGACTTAAATTACATATTTTAGCCAAGAGGTGACTAATTCCCCATCCAGTGACTAATCACTTTTAAAAATTATTAATACTTCCTCGGTTTGCGTTTGGTTAAGAGCTTGTACTCAAGAAGTTGGATGTTTCGGCATGATCTTGCAGCGATCACTGTGCCAATCGACACAAAGACTTTTTAAAAATCATTACTTCCCCCACACTACTGCTGATTACAGAACCAGCTTTATTTGGGAGCATGTCAAGAAACTCAGCATTATTTTTTTTTTAACCAAGATGTAAATCACAGTATGCTGTTACATTCAGACTTCCACACTTAGAAAATATAGTTATTTATGTACAGAAATTTGCACAAGAGGTTTAAACATACATTACAGGTCAAGATCCCAGTACATTCCAAAACAAAAATAGCAAAAGGCAAACAGCAAGGGTTGTTTGTAAGCTATGGGCTGTCAAAAGTTTATATATTAAATAGAAGTAGCTCTGATACGTACAACAAAGTGTTGCCGGAACATTAAGTAATGAAAACCAGAACGGCTTCTCTTTCTCAGATGGAATGATACCCTAAAACCTTGATACTCAAAAAAAGTAGGCACTGATTTCTAGAAGGAAATTTTCTTCTTACCGATATAACCGAGCCAATATGGCTTTTAAAACATTTGTACTAGTGCAAAGTAATCCAGTGCTAGAATTAAACTTGGAACAACTTGGATTTTAATTAAGTTTGCAATATTGAAAACAAAATGTCTTTATTGTTCTCTAGTGGCTACACTGTAAGCAGACCAGTAAAGATTCAATGCCGCTGCTTTCTAGTTTTTTATACTGTTACCAGTCTCTATTGCTGCTGGCTGCTGCCTTGCCATCTTGACGAGTATATACAATTGTTATCTCATCCAAGTAGCCCGCCCAAGTCCTGCAACAGGGGGCATGCCGGGGGGCGGTATTGGAGGTGGTACTGGAGGCTGTCCACCAGGGGGCACTGTGGGAGGGGGATAACTTGCTGGTGGCATCCCCAGCCCTGGAGGTGGGTGAGGTGGGACAGCATGAGAGGGGGGCAACCGAGGGGGTGGGAAGTTCGGATTGTAGGTAGGGGGTGGAGGGTAGCCTGGGGTCGGAGGAGGAATAGTCGGTGGGGGGAATGCTGTGGGGGGAGGAGGAACAGGCGGAGGAGGGTTGGGAGGATACACATGAGGGTGATACGGCAAGTGAGTCGGAGGTCCATAGTTTGGCGGCATAGCTCCGTAGGTGGGCGCTTCTGTCTTCATCATTGACTGAAGACTCTGATATCCCTCCCCTGACATGTATGAATTGGTTGTGGACATGCCGGTTATGTAACTGGACGGTGGGGGTGGCGGCCGATGAGGCAGAGGAGGTGGTTGATGCACAGGAGCCGGATGAGACGGAGGAGCAATCTGGACTTTGGCCAGGTCTACGGAATCAACCGTAGTAGCCTGATCACCTCCCATGGAAACTGCAGTCGTCAGAGGAGGCTTCAGTTCTGTCAATGGAAAAGAAACACTTTAGTCAGCTGCACATGCCAAGGAGAGCACAATAAAAACAACATGGCTTTATTTCCTATTCCTGCTAACAAGTGGGTATTTGTCTAAAAACAAGTTATCGCAGAATAAACTATGAGAATGTAGAAACAGGGAACCAAAAAAAGATTCTGAGAAAAAAAGGAAATGAAATCACACGTTGCTTGCTTTCTTCTACAGTGCTTTAAGGCTCTAAAATTTCAAGGTCGCAAGGCAGAGCTGGAAAACCAGTGGTTGCCTAACTTGATGCTGGCATATAACTGTGACATTTTGCTACCACTGATAATAGATGAACAATGTGAGAAAGAACTGGGGAAATGTACCGTCTGTGTAGCTCACCTCAGTCCATGCCTCAGCAGTGGTTTCTGCTGATTCCACAGTCACAAATGAACTTTTTTTTTTGGGGGGGGGTGTTCATTTAGGGGGCAGGTAGTTTATATAAAGGTACTCTACATGCAGTGGCAGGATCCTTCCACTTTAAAAAGGAAAAAGACTGTTCTTAACACAAAAAAGCCACCAAGGAAACAGTGTGTGCTGTGCCTTTCCATCAGGATGCTCTGCTGTCAACACAAGTTGATCAAGTTTGGATGAGTCAACACAGGGTTACATCAAGCATCTATTCTATAAAATATTTAAGCTCTATCGCAGGGTCATGAGGTGACAATGGTAGCATGTTTCCCAAACATACAGCAGAGGAACTGCAAAATGGGTTACTCTGGCAGACCAAGCCTGGTCTTGAGAAATAGCCAAGGGGACGACATCCTCTAACATTGACAACGTACAAGAGTCGGCAACTGTGATTCAGTTTGTGCACTGAACCACTGGGTGACAAAAAGAGAAAGCTACTTTTTAAATGCAATCAGACCGTAAAGAGGGAAACGTTAAATTTCTGCTCATGCTTTTCAAGTCACATTGATCCCAAAAGGCTCAACTCTCCAGAGAAAGGAAAACATTCTAATGTTGTTCAAAAGCGGATATGAAGCTGTAGCTCTTCCATCCGCGTAAAGTAGATCGTTCAGGCCTTTTTATGAGCAGCCGAACATTTGGAATGGGAGAGGCACGTAGCTCACAACTCTCCAGTCCCTGACAATTCCAATTCCACAAGTGGATGGAGGATTCACCCATCTATTGAAGCTCCTGCAACAGCATCAATCCTGAAGCTGGTGCAGATGGCGGAATGCTCAGATGTTCTGGGACCAAGGCCACTCGGAGCTAGGGCTCAACAGGAATGCACTGGATAGGAATGAGGGATGCCATGTTGACAATGCTCTGACCTGGATGGCCCAGGCGAGCCCCATCTCATCAGATTTCAGAAGCTAAGCAGGGTCGGCCCTGGCTAGTATTTGGGTGGGAGACCTCCAAGGAATACCAGGGGTGTGATGCGGAAGCAGGCAATGGCAAACCACCTCTGAACATCTCTTGCCTTGAAAACCCTACTGGGTCGCCACAAGATCGCTCTGACTTAATGGCACTTTCGTCCACCGCCGCATGTTGACATTTCAGGACTCAAATGACCACAAGCATACATTTCTAGCTTATCAAACAGCAAGCAGCCACACCAAACAATGGCAAGCTTTTCCCAACAAAAGACAACAAGGTAAATGTTTTCTGAAACTTACCAGGTGGAGGATGCGTGGGAGGGGCTGGTGGATGGGAAGCCTCCATTTTAGCAATCTTAGGAGGTGGCGCTTCTGAAACAGAGCAAGATTTAGGGCTTGGATTACAACAACGTAGCGACCCTTAACAAACAACTAGGGTACTTCAAAGTTCAGCACCTGACAAAACAATTACTGAATGTATATTAATATCTATTACCTTACAAACTAAATTTTAGTATAAAAACAAAAGAAAACCTATTTACCTGCAGTTTTGGTTTCTTCTTTTGGAGATACAGCCTGTTACCAAGACAACAACATGCACAATCAAAACGTCAAATCGCACAAAAATATCGAAGACCAATATAATCTCTTCAACTGAAATGCTTAAAGTTATAGGACTACACTGTCTGTGTAACTCTGTAAAACCTAACAGTTCTGGAGAGCATTTTTATGAAGGTGCTAGGGCTACGGTATAACAGAATAGTTCTGGAAGGCGCTCTTATAAAAGCAACAGCACTGTAGTCTATGTCACTACATATGGTATGTAATGCATTCTCTATTTGCTGAATGTCTTATGCTGCTTTTTCCTGCACTGTTTTCTACTTTTGTAACACCACTTTCTGTATTGTTAGAAACAATTTAAAAAAGGATGATGTGTCAAATTTTTGTAATCCTAGTCCTACTGGATTGCTGATTAAATGTCTCATGACTGATACTTGGGTCTCCGTGAGAAAGGGAGGCTGTAAAGTAAATAAACACGTTATCTAGCCCAGTATTTAAAACGTCATACGTTATCAGCACAAAATCCATTCATGCATTTTCATGATTTAAGTGTTACTAAAAATGCGGGAAAACAGCTGAAGCCTTCCAAGCTTGTGACACCCTGACTGCGTTTTTGGCTGCACCAACTTTCGTCTCCTGCTCCAGATACCAGACTGGTCACTCAACATGCTTCAAGGCTCTATGCTTGGAAAGGAAATATATGCAGTTCTACATCGCTTCCACTGTGTCCTGTGTGAGCCTAAAGAGACGGGTCTGTTAAGTTTTATTCATAAAGAGTAAACACTTCTTGAAATATGAAGGCTTGTGTCCTACAAATGAGCTCCACACTCCCTAGATCAGAGGTGTCGGACCCATTTGTTACAAGGGCTGAATCTGACATAAGTGTCACTTTGCTGGGGTGGGCCATGTCTGCCATAAAACTTAACAGGTAATGGAGATAGAAACTGTATAAAGGACAGCAACTGGTAAGCTCCGAGTTGGTGTATCCTCACTGCAAGGCCTCATGGGCTGGGATGGGGGTGCAAAGGAAAACCCTTATGGGTGGACTGGAGAGCCAGTGGTACAGCCCTGGGCAGAGGCTCCTATGCTGCTGGACTATGTGCAGACGAGGTTGTTCCACCATGCTGAAACTGCAATTGGAGTGGCTCTGATCACTCCCCTCAAGTAGTCTCCTGTTACCTCCCTTGCACTAGTTGCTCACAGGCCACATAAGAGCCCTGGATGGGCCGGTTCTGGCCCCCGGGCCTTACATTTGACACCCCTGTCCTAAATAGCCCCTGCCTCGCAATGCACTTCCTCTTCTGCTCAAACTTCTGTTTGCACAAGATCGGTGGTCGTCAAATGGGCCCCGGAGCCACCTGTAGCAGAAAACGATGTGCACAGTCTACAACAGAGACTATTTAGGGAGTGTGGATTTCAGTCACAGGCCCCAAGCCTATGTGATAAGCTCTGACACCAACTCCGATAACTGCAAGGTCTAGGTAACAGTGCCACTTACCGCTGGCCGTTTGGCTTGCCTGGGAGGACTCGACTGTGGAGAAGGTTTTTTGGACTGTGGAGTCTGGGGGGGTGGCGGCGGCTGCTGCTGCCCTGCTGGCTGAGATTCTTTCTGGGGGGGTTGTGGTTGTGATGGCTCAGAAGTCTGAGATTGCTGGGTCTGCTGCGGTGGAGTCACCTGAGGCACAGCCTGAAGGGAAGGAGGCTGCTGTAGCTGATGTGGGGTGTGGTGAGGCATTTGTTGCTTCCCCTGTGAATACAGATCCAGGATCTGATGACAGATGTCTTTGCAGGGGGGGGAAAAAACAAGACCAAAGGTTAAACATTCCAGTAAACAAGTAAAGGACTTCTGAAAATTCTGTCTAAAATAAAAACTCATTTTAGCCAGCGATTTTATGAACACAGGATGCTGCCTTATACAGAGTTTGACCATTGGTCTCTCAAGCCCAGTACTGTCTACTCTGATTGGCGGTGGCTCTCCAGGGACTCGGGCAAAACGCTTTCACATCCACCTGATCCTTGTAACTGGAGACTGAACCTGGGACCATCTCTGCATGCAAAGCAGGTGTTCTACCACTATGCTATGGACCCCACCCCACAATGTGAAGCTGCCTTATCCTGAATCAGTCCACTGGTCTGTCAAGGTCAGCGCTGTCTACTCCAACTGGCAGCAACTCTCCAGGGTCCCCTCTAGAGAGCTTTCATATTGCCTACCACCTGATCCTTTTACCCAGAGATGTCAGGTACTGAACCTGCAGCCTTTTGCATACAAAAAAGATTCTCTACCACTGAGCTGTGTTCCTTCCTCAGAAGCCAATGAAATTTCAGACAACGTTCTGCAGGAGGTCAGCTTTACAGCTTCTCTAACAAGACTATCCGCACTGAAAGTTGTCTAAAACAATCTGGTCCCATTTTATACAAGTCAGAATTACCAGGGCCACCAGCAAGAATGAGCATTCCAGAAGACAGACTGCCTGAGTAAGAAAATGATTTCCAAGTAAAAACCCTCTGTGGAAAGAGACAGTGCATTTCTGAGGCTAAGGCCAGCAGGGAGTGGAGTCAACGGAGAAGAAAGCACTCCTTACAGGTTTGAAGGTATCATGAATAAAAAACAACCATGTTTGGCAAAAAGTTTTTGAAAGCGCTCTCTTATTTCCTGAGATCCTGCTGGAAAATAATGTTCTGGCCTTTAAGGCACAGTGAAGCTCAGACAAGCATGCTATGCATAGTTTCTGAATCAGTGTTGTAAACCAAGTAAGACATAACATTTTTAAGAGTGGCCCTTGTTGTGAAGAAAACTGAAGCTTTCCATATGTGCAGTACCGACACAGCAAAATTATAAAACTTACATTATAAATGTTCACAGGGTTAACAAACCATATGGAACAATATTTTCACTATGCAGTTTCTAAATAAGGGCTGAAAGGGTATCTGTATAGTTAAATGTCACATTCTGGATTTGGAGAAATTGGCTCTTATATAGCATGGGTATAAGTTACACCTGTGTAGAGAACAACTCAAAGAAAAGTATTTGGGTGGCAAATGCTTCAAGTACCTTCCAGGACATCAACAGGTACGTCTTGCACAAACTGCTCCCACCACCTTCGGTACATCGGCTTTGAGGTCCACTCCTGAATCTCAAACTTGCACAAGCGGCCTGCCAGATACATCACAGCAACTGCTATGATTTCTGGCTCCCACTGCAGTGACAACGTAGTACACAGGCTAGAAAAACACAAACAAGAATTATGAGACACATTTCCTAAGGACTGTCTCAAACATTTCCTGACCACAGCTCCAATTCGTTTGTGGGAGAGGGGAGTATCTATCTGGTTTCCTCCAAAGAACTAATGACAATTAAGGGACAGTAATTTTATGGAACAACTGGTAAGATACAGGGGTGGATACATAAGCATTTTCTTAATGCAACCTGGAACGCTGAACTAGGAGCAATCCCAGGCACGCTCAAGTCACCTGGGACACGTTCCAATATAACAGACACGCAGCACCAGTAATCAACACAACAAGTAGCCTAGGGAGGCTTCTAGAAAAAGGTGGAGAGGCATCAGCATGGGATGACTTATGCATACTTGTTGTACAGCAGGGTCTGGCTCCTTCTTGCAATAGCAATAATTAACTTTCAGCTGGGTCGTTCTGAACTTCAGTGAACTCAGAACCTTTGCCCACCTTCTATTTACAGGTGCTATAAAACAATACCCAGCATTGTAAAAGTGACCCATTAGCAGCAACCAAGTGCATTTCAGAACTGACACCCAACTAAGCCCTTTGCTTGCTGCTTCAGCTGTTGCCCAGATTGCTATGCACCACAACCATGTCACAGTGCTGTCTGTGGCCAATAATAGCCAGTAAGGTTTAGAGCACTGGATGAGGACGTGAGACGCCTGGTCTGAATCCCCGATGGGTGACCCTGGACCCATCATAATCCTTTGGGCTAACCCTACTGCACAAGGTTGCTGTTGTGAGGAGAGAAATGGAGGGGGGGGGGAGAAGGATGTGAAAAGACGCTACAGGTCCTGCTTGGGGGGGGGGAAGCAGGATGCGCATAAATTAAAATAAATATGTAACTACATTAAACAAGGCACTCTAGGAATCTGAACAACAAAATTTGGGGAAAGCACCTTCAAAGGTGAGAGGAACCTGAAAGTTCAAATAAGCGAGGTAACTACTAAAGAGCACAGGACGGGGGAAGGGGGTGAATGTTTACCTGTCATTTACAAACGTCCATGCCATTTGCACCAGCTTTTGAATTTTGTTCTTATCACCTGTGTGCAAATTATTTTTAACAAATTACTACATTAAGGCAATAAACTTTGTGACCAGTAGATGCGCAAGTCATTCCTGCACACGTTTACTCAGAATTCAATCTCATTCATTAACATGCACGGGTAAGTCCTAACTCTGAGGACTACAAACTTGAGCGGCTCATATATACTCTACAGAAGAAACAATTACAGACACTCAGGCATCAGCAGCTACACATGGGAGCATGATGTAGATACTCACAGCTCAACGGGTAACCATGTGCACAAACTGGCGCTGAGATTGGACAAGTAGTTTTCAAAAAAGGGTAAAAGTGTGTGCGCGTGTGTAGCGGTTAGCTGCACCCTATCCTGTCATCCTTCTCCCAGTAAAAACTGATCTAGAGGATTTTAACCTCAATGAAAAAGCTCTGCACAAACAGCTCCATCGGGGATGTGATCGGACAGGGATCAGAGCACCAATTTCCAGCTGTCAGTCAGCATTCTGATCCCTCCTCCACCTGAAACTTCTTGCCAGCCCCTACAAACTCTTTGGATGGGAACTCAGCCATAGGTTGCACAATGTGGTTCTGCTGGGCTACATATTGTACACCCACGACCTAAACACAGTTTGTGACTTTCTTCTAGCCAGATGCCGTTTCTGCCCAAAGAAAGCAGGATATCTAAAGCACAGCTAGCCCCTGAATCAGTACAAATTTAGCTCTGAGATGATGGGTTTTGCAAAGCAGAAACTCCACCAACAGAGTGATATAAAGAACGTAACACTTCTGCCAGCCTCATTCCTACAACAGCGTTCAGATAACCCTCAAAAACACAGTTTCCCTGTTTTATCTATTTGACAATTACTTCTCTCAGGGCAGAAAAGATAACTGAATATGAAATCATCTACACATGCTCCCAAGCAGTAATACCAGCTATTTTCTTACCTTTCAGCTGCTTGGCATATTTAAGGAGGAACTGGTAGGGGTGCTCCACTTGCAAGTCGAATTTTATCGTCTGTAGTAAGATCCTCTCCAAAACCATAACTTCTTCCTAACGATCATGGGGGAGGGCAAAGATTATATTATGCCAAAAGGCCAACTCATTACATTTCTAACTTACATTAATTTCAGATGGCATTACACAGTAATGCCAGAGAAGCCATAGCAATGTCTGCCTACTTCTATAGTCTTGGAATGCAGCAACCACCACTGTTGTCAAAAATTAATTTTTTTAGTGCAAGCACATTTTTGTTAAGTTGTGCATCTATGCCCAGGAATGGGTTTCTCTCCTAACTCACCAACTGATGATCAAAACCCCCTTCACCATGAAATCATGCACTGGGTGTCATTGTGGCTCATAAGGTTGTGAGACCGACAGTACAAACCTAAGGAGAGTTAAGCCCTTCTAAGTTCATTGAAGTTAGTGGGCCCAGAAGGATGCAACTCTGCACTAGACTACACGATAAGAAGCAGAAGACCATCGCTGGGATGGACCCCATGGTTTCCAAATTTCCCTTGGGAGGGGGGGGACTCTTTGGCTGCCGGGGAAGTGTCAACAAGGGACAAACAGTAAGGAAGAGAACAGGAAAGGAATGGTGTGTGGATACCACAGAATGAACACTTTCTGGGCAATGTGGCCCACTACCTCTATAATGACAAAGCCTTGAGGCACCTTAAAACCTAAAAAAATTATTTTGACATAAGCTTCCATGAGCCAAAGCTCCCTTCATTAGCTACAAGGTGACCCATCAGCAAATTCAGTTGCTGATCATGCTGTACGACCACATTTTGGGAGTGGGAAAAGACCAAATGAAATATAATATTGTTGCACAGTTCTGGGCAAAGAGTGAAACTGCACACATTTGCAGTCAAATGTTAATGAATAGGAAACAAACGGATCATCTTGTCTCCAATTATTTCTGGAAAGACTTTCAACAGCCAAAGTCAAACCCGAAGCACGAAGGCAAACTCTGGGAGTTGCAGAACTTATTTAAGGCTAATTCTTCTGTAAGTTTAAAGGGCTTCTTTCATTTTTCCCGTTATTTATTTTGTTACAAAGTATGAGAGCCCTTAATAGCTATGAAAGACTGGCAGGGACATGGGTGAAGACTTGCTACTTCGCTGATTTAGCCAAAGTGTGCCAACAGCTTCTTAGCCTGAAACAAATTCCAGTACTTTGAGCTGAAGCAAATCCCCCAAAGACCCTCTCTTAGTACAACAGAGGGAATCATGGTCATACCTTATAGTGGGAAAGTGGGTGCCCTGAGCTGGGCAAAACTTTGAATCTATAGTATTTGGTATGATATAGTTCAGAACATGCTCCATTTTGGCTGCCCATGGGAATTTTCAGAAGCTTCTGAATGTCTGAGGTTGCTCACAGTAGGAGCAATCCAGCAACACACATCTCGCCTACCTTACGCAGAACTAAGCCAAGGAAACAGTGTATTTACGGTAAGCTGCAAAGCTCATACGTTAATTTTGTAAAAATTACCTTTTGCGACTCAGTTGTCTGAAGACTTTGTGACTAACAAATGTCTATAATTACTACGACAAAGAAATAAGTGACAAAAAAGTTTATTTTTTTCCAGTTTGCTTACTGTATGCATATGGCTGCACTCTGTGTGGCCAGTTTCACTGCTTCCCCTGTGCAGTGGATTATTTCTTTGCTGAAAAGACAGGCAAATGCAACAGGAGAACAACACAAGCACTGCAATACACATTCCCTTGGAAAACAACATGTGATGGACACGCTATCTAGAAAAAACACAAGTGCTGAAATCTCTTATTAAATACTGGCTTGCAGAAACTGCATACAAAATAATTCAAAACTTGTTCTGTCTTGGGCATTACATTAGTTTAATTTATTAAATTCCAAGAGCACCACTGAAACCATGTGCTAACACCCACAAGTCAACAATATTCGGGTAACATCATAATTATTTAACCAAAACAATCTTCAGAACATATCTGTTTACCTTTGGATCATCTCCGAATTGTCCAAACTGCACATCATTTAGTAAACTACGAGCCGTTTTGATGATATCTTTACATTTTTTGGGTGTTTCTTCAACTTTCCCTGCTAGGAAAAGACAGCAAGCTCCAGTCACCTATTAAAAAAAGATTTCTTCAGAAAGTTGTTTTTACATCATTTCTGGGGGGGGGGGGTTTGTCTTCAAGATTGTGTTTTTCCCCCTGTGTGGGGGGGGGGGGGGGTTGCATTTCTAGGACAATTTCTTACACTTCGTTCAAATACAGTTATACCTATCAGTCACACACCCTTTCACATGCTCAGAAAGCAATCCTAAGCAAGTCTACTCAGAATCCTATTGTATTATATTCAGTAAGGCTTACTTCCCAGGAAAGTGTTCTTAGGAATGCACTGTAACAGTATGAAGTTAATATTATGCTGTCAAGTACCATTTTATTACTGCCCCCCACAGAACAGTTCCTCTAGGTCAATGCAAGTCAATCATAAAAAGCTGGTTCAAATGCCAATGTCCTGGCTTATGTGTGACACTGACTGCACCAAGAAACCATAATTTTGAAGCACAACCGGTACCGTATCCTGATCCATATAACACAACTCAAACTGTTGTGTTAGTACAAACAATGAGTTCTCTAGCTAGCGTGCATAGTCTTTGCAAGGTACAAGGCAGAGGCCTCCTTCCCACTGTTTGAAGCCACAGGTGATTAGAACAAATTCAGTGTTTTCACACATATAGTTAATATTGTAATAAGGTTTTAAATTCCACAGTGACATAAGCATGCTAAAATGATATAACTGTGACATAACATATATCATTAGCTAAAATGATATAACTGTGCTAATATGATTGCTACAGTTGTTATGAGGGACTAACTGACAGACACTTCTAATACACACTAGGATGGGTCCAGTGATTTCTCAGAAGGCACTAGGAGACAATTGTTTTGTCTTGTTCCCCTTCCACTAGCAAGCCCCTTCAAACCATGGGAACCACATGGAATCATCCCGTCTCTTTTCTCCTGTGCTTGTGAAGTGGGTATACTCTTTTGGCCCTCTCATTATGGCTGCTGATGCCCAGGATTGGGGGGAACTGCATTCCCAGGGCAGGAAGGGGCTGCTGGCAAGAGATGAACACAGCAAACAGTCACACTTCTCCAGCCGATAACTCTATTGCATCCATCCTGCTATTTTTCGCAATACTGAATAGATCAAAAAAAGCAGTTATTTAAATCTTAACAGAAGATCTGCCTTACTACAGCAGACCAAAAGTCCATCTTGGACAATGTTTTATTTCCAACAAACAGATCTTCATGAAAATCTTATCTCTCAGGCCTACAGAAATTCCCTCCTGCCTGAAATCTAAAATGCCACACCTGGGCAAAAAATGCCATAAATAAAATCACCTAAGAAGAAAGTTTACTGTGTGGCAGACGGCTCCACCCAAAAACTATAACAGTTGTAATGGAAACAAGTTCCTCAAATTCAATATACAGAAATGAATGTCACAATGCCAAATACTTTTCACACAATAGCTACTAACTCATACTTACATATCTTGGAAACTGTTTGAAGGAGTGGAACATATAAAATCGATGAAAATAAATTATTCCAGTTGCTAGCGTATCGTAATGTCTGGATCAGCCAATAAGGATTTCTACAAATTATTACTGAAACTAAAATACAAATACTAACACAGAAGTGAATGATGTATCAAAAGCCTCTGCAATGCAAGTCTATAATGTTCAGTATTTGCTTAAACATATTTGGAAAAATAAGTTCAGAGTTAACATTTAAAAAAAAAAAACAGTGGTAATGAGTGCCCTCTCTGCAGCTATCTGTAACTTGACATTTTAATCTATCAAATAGCTGAGGACACTTATTTCACTGAAGGAACAATCCCAAATAAGTATACTTGGGAGTAAATGCCATTAAGGTCAATACAATTTACTCCCAGGTAAGCAAGTACAGGACTGCAGAGTTCCACAAGATGCTACATTTCCATACATAACCTACTTAAAATAATTTTTAAATTGTAAAACATTTTCCTTTGCAGGGAGTTACAATGTAAGCTAAAAGTATGTATCATTCATTGGTTGAAAATATACCAGAAGGGATCACTAATGAAACCAAATACAAAATGCCATGTAGTTTTGTTAAAAAATAAAGTATTAAATTAAAAATTAATTTAAATGGTACTATTTATGGTTACTAAATGTAAGCTCAGTTAAAGGATTCTGTGGAAATATTGCTAGAATTCAGACACTATACAAGAAGTTTCTTAAGCAGAACTCTCATGTGGAAAAAACCAATAAAAATGTGCATCGTACAAATCAAAGGATACAGTCCCAAGCGGGTTCCTACATCAAATATAAACCGGGCGCCTTCTCTTCGGTATCTTGCCTCAGTAGCTGGATCAAGTCCTTCTAGTTGTGATGGGGTATGAGCCAAGTCTTTCTTATCCCAGTACCAGCATGGCTTTGTATGGTCCAGATTTGCCAAAGCTACAGAAGGACTAGAGTTTTCTTTATTTTCCTTCATTTCTTGATGTAGAATAGTTGTTCCTTGATCAATTTTCCAAGGGTTGCTTTTCATATGGTGACTTTAGAGCCTTAGAAGAGAAGGGAAAGACATTGAGAATAACATTTTTGACCTTACAAGATCTCTTTCAATGAATGCTTCACACCAAGTTATGTTATTAACTTTATCCTTTATAAAGCTAATTTGCAAAGCAAGGAGGAAACTAAAGTATGTCCTCAGGCATTTCTAAGCACTAGCACTTTATTTTTAATATTCAAAAAGCCAAGTACCTCGGATATTCGAACTCTACTCCTGTTCCTCCAAGAGGTGATAACTAGCAAAATGCCTGTTACCAAACAAATCAGCATGGAGGGCACTCACAGCTGGTCCCCTTAGTTCCTGTTTAGGTGATCTGTCAGCAGTTTACACATTGCGACCAATATCAGTATGAAACAAGTAATGGTGCCTCAGACCTCATCCTCAAAATATAGCTGTATATGCCTTTTCAAGGTAATACTCTGGCATTAAACAAATTCTCACAGTTCCTCAAAACACCGCTATCACCCATTCATCACAATACAAAACCAATCTCTTCCATGAATCCTTTGGCACAATCCTTTCCTCCTGAAATTTAGCTAAACTCACCTTTTAATGTAAAAAATTATGCACTGTCCCTCAACTTGAAAGTGTGGCTTACAACAAATATAAATCGCCCCCATATTTACCCACCCTTCCTCTTTTCCCTCCCTCCGTGTACGACATTTAAAGATTGCAGGTTCTATGAAGCAGAGACCTGTCTTTTGCTATTTTTACTGATACTATATACAGCTTAACATTCTATATAACATACATGACAACAATAGATTATGGAAAATAGCCTTAATTTTCTTCTCTCACACACACACACAACTCTTGCTATTATTTCTACTCATTAAAACGTGTTTAAAAATTATCATTCACTTCCACAGCAAACTTCATAACAAATCCGAAGAAACAGTCCCATCTGTGAACAAGACCAGAGCTCCCAAATGGTGGGGCTCCCTTATGAATGTTTTCAACTTTAAAAAAAAAAAGTTTGATGAGTTTTAGTAGGATTATCCTATGAAAGTCAGTTTAAAGGGGGTCAGGTAATAGGGAAAGTTGCCTGCTCAAGCTCCTAGGAACTTACAGCACCCGATTCTTTCACAGAATCACAGAGTTGAAAAAGGGACCCCCCAGAGTCATCTAGTCCAACCCCCTGGACAGTTCAGGAAATTCACAAATACACCCCCAATAATCCCTGTTCCATGCCCAGAAGGTGACCAAAAAACCCCCCCAAAACCCTCCAGGATCCCCAACCAAACTGGCCTGGAGAAAAATTGCTTTGTCTCTCCCTGCCCAGATTTCGGACAGTAAACTTCACAATAAGTAGAACGACAACAACAAAAAGCAGGCCCCCCACTGACAAGGCATAAGCTTCTACATCCGGGAAAATCACTCAGATATATATAGGAACACAGCCTGCAAATCAAGGGTGGGGGGGGAATGAAAACCAAGAAACCCCACTTCAATGAGGGCCGAACAGGCTACAAGGGTCAGGTAAGATTACTTCAAAACCAGTTAACGTAAGCCGAGCCGGATCATCCGATGTGGGCAGCGGGTTTTGTGAGCCGAAGCCCCGTTATTCCTTCGGAACGTCCTCCACGCATCCGAAGGACCAGCTCGCTCACTCTTCTCGGCAGCTCCAGCTGAACGACTACGTTAGCCTGTTTTATTCTGTTGCTACCGGAGTCTGGCGGCACCGTTAACAACTCCAGCCTCAAGTCTCACTCCTCCTTCGGGTTCAGCTATATGACTCCCGAAAACCGCCTCTGAGATACCCTGAAAGGCGAAGTAGCAGCAGCAGCACCTGCGCTTGTGTACACAATACCCAAAGCGCGCTCAACGTGTACACACGAACAAAAGAGGAGTTTCCTTTCAATCCTCTTCGCCGTCGCCGCTTTCGACGGTCAGAGCCGCCCCCCTCGCCCGCCCACCTCAGGAGCTCTCCGGGCTCGGAAAGGCCGGTCAACCGCTTCTTCGGTTCCTTCCCTCCCCCGCCTCCCCGTTCACTCACAAAAGCGACCTCAGCCGCGGAATGCCCGACAGCCCCTCAACGACACCTCCTGCGCGGCGCCATCTTGGGAGAGCCAAGGCTGTGAAGCAAGTTTGCAACGTCATCGCGTTGGCGCACGAAGAAGCGCCGCCGGCAGCGGTGGGAGGGGGGGGATGAGAGCGAGCGTCTAGTGGGCAGGCTCCGCGAGGCCACAGTCGCGCGCGCACGTAGGGACGAGCTGTAGTTACCCGACGAATCACAAGCCTAGCCTTGAACTCGTAAGCCCCGCCCCCTCCCTTGCCCCATTCGAGAGGAGGGACGGAAAGGGGGGGCTTCGTTTGCCTTGATCTCGACACCGCCCCTACTGCTTCATAGGATGTCCCAGAAAGGAGCAAACCGTCCGCAGGGTGCCTCGTCTCAGCCAATCAGCAAAGCGAATTGAAGCCGAGGGGTGGACCGGCTAGAGAGCTACGGTTCTGACCAATCAGACTTCTGTTGCACACCCCCTTGCTCTCGCGGTAAACTGTTGGTGTGCGCGTGTGTGGCGATGTGTTTTCCTCTCTCCCCTCTCACGTCCTCCTTGGCCATTGGTGAGAAATCCTGAGGAGGCGGCAACGGCGAAAGGGATTGGTCGGCCGCCCGAGTGCGAGAGAAGGGGCTGGATCCAATGGCGGCGTCGGAAGTGCGGAGTGACGGGACGGGTGGGCGGGGCCAAAGCACTGGCCGCTGAGTAGTGAGTGTGCGCGGCGGGGCTGTGGTTGGCTTCGCTGCCGCCACCGCCTCTCCCCCCGCTTCCCCTCCCTCCATCCCGGGCAGAGCCGTCCGGTGAGAGGAAAAATTTTTTTCTTGGGGGGGGGGGAAGGGTTCCGCGTTGTCGCCGTTGAAAGGTAAATGGGGGAGGGGAAGAAGGGCCCCCTTCCGTTTCCCTCACGCGCACGCCTCCTCTCAGAAAGGGGGGGTGGGCGGCTGGTCCGGGCCTGCCTGACTCCTGTTCCTTCACCCGCTTTTCCTTCCCCATCTGGTTGTGGGGCCCCCTCGTAGCCTGCGAGGACTGCGCTCCTCGGGTAGAGGAGAGCAACAGACACCCGCACTCGAGGGGCCACGCTCGGTGTCGAGTAACTGCCTCACTTATCTATTTCCGACCTCTCTTCCTCCTCCCTCCCTGTTATTCACACGATCATAACGCCTTGGTTGTTAATCCTAATTACGCCCGTTAAATTTCCCTTCACTGTGACTGGAGGAGTTTCGGTCGCGATCTGGTTTAACAGTTTGAAGGGGGGGGGAGGTGGCCCTCTTTTTTCCTACTCCTGCAGTTTCTTTCTAGGTGTCAGAATTATGTTTATCAGTTATTATAATATAATACAATAATTTATAATCTAGTTTATTTGAACTCTGACGGTTTCTAAGGTACTACGAAGTCATCGCTGCCGGGTTAAATGGGCGGGGGGGGGGGTTACTCCCTAAGTAATAGTGCAAAGGATTGGGAATGACGCAGAGTTAGACTTTACAAGCCACATTCATGTTTATTTTTGGGCGGGTCGTATTAAATTTGGTAGAACTTGCTGCCTAATAAGCAGGCGTAAAATTTAAGCTCTGATTGCGGTACTGTTGTTTTCCTGCCCTCTCCCCATCTCTGTGGTTCGGTTTGTATATTATTTGTGTACTTTGCTTTCAGTCTTCCTTTGTAGAGAGTCAAGTGTGCACGTTTGTGTGTGTTATTTAGCCATTTTGAAGGGTGTGTAGAAATCATTTTAAAAAGAAAAATGCAAAATGTTATTTCCCGTTAATTTTACAACCAAGGCTTTGATTTTTAAGGCCCTCCTTTGCAGTCCCTTCATGGTTGACATGCTTATTCCCTGATCCATGCCCAACTTGCTGCTTCTGTCTCTTTGCTGTTCCTCACTTTTACTGTTCAGTGTTCTGGTCCTATTTCAGTTATTAAGTAAAAACTTCTACAACAACAGCCTAGTTTTTCTGTCCAAATCAGTGCTCCTCATGGCGTTACTGCCTTTAATCTCTTTATCATTTTTTGTTCTTATTGTGTCTGGATAATGCTTAACACAAGCTGCTGCTGTGCTGTAAAATCTCCCCATCTGTCTTTTTAACCTGAACGTTGCATGTTTTCTTCTGTATCTTTTCCCATGGTGTCACTGACCAGTTCCCATCATTCCTTGCCATGCAGTTCTTTTAATTGCTTGTTTGTTAAATTTTGCTCTCATACTAGTCTTAATATTTATTTCTCAATTCTACTCTCTGACTTTGCCCTTTTAATGGTTCAGTCCCCTGAATCGACCTATGGTTTTCTTGGTTTATCACTGACACCAAATTCAGTATTTACAATAATTTGTCAGCTTTGGTGCTCTTTTCCATGGGCCTTTTGGGTGTAAGGCTGGGCATCTTTTTTCTGATCTTAATGTTCGTTTCATTTCTCTGCCGAACTTCATATTGTCTAGCTCTGCCTGGCTTTCTGAGCGTTCCCTCTTAAAAACTTATTATTTTACATAAAGCTTGTACTCACTATGTGTCATGTTTGCGTATGTGGTGGTTCAATTTCTTTGTTTTCTTCCTATATGAGGGATAAAGCTGAATCTTGTTCATCATTGCCTCCTGATTGAGGATAAGCTGTTCCTGTATTGGATGCTTGCTTGCTTGCTCAGTCTAACACTAGAAGCTATTCCTTGATCATGCAATCAACTTAAAGTACCCATCCCATTTCTAGCTTTAAGCAGTGACAGCTGTATTTCTAGGGAGCCACTGCAGTTGTTTATCTCTTTAAACATTTCATTCTGATTCAGTAGTTTATCACTGTTACTTGGGAGAAATTCAAGTTTAGCTTTCCTTTGCACTGCCTTTTTTGCCACTTTGCTACATTTTTCCATTTTGTATATATTATCAGGAGCTGCGGTGGCTCAAGTGGTTAAGACGCTGAACTGCAGGCTGTGGAAGGTCAGTAGTTCAGCAGTTCGAGACCCGAGTTGCCGCATTACAGAGTGAGTTCCCGTCTCTAGTTCCAGCTCCTGCCAACCTAGCAGTTCGAAAGCAAGAAATTGCAAGTAGATAAATAGGTACCACTTTGATGGGAAGGTAACAGCGTTCCGTGCACCTTGGTGTTTAGTCATGCCGGCCACATGACCACGGAAACGTCTTTGGACAGCGCTGGCTCTTCGGCTTTGAAATGGAGATGAGCACCGCAACCCTAGAGCAATGTTCCCTCTAAGCTATGGAGTCTTGTGAGCAAAAATTCTACTTTGTGAGCTACTGGAATTAAAGTTGTGAGCGGGCGATTTGGCTACTGCATAAATTAGTTTTCTCTGGAGCCATCCTTCCTGAGCTAAGACAAAAATGTGTGAGCCAGAGGCTAAAAAACTGTGAGCTAGCTCACACTAACTCAGCTTAGAGGGAACACTGCCCTAGAGTCGGACTCGACTGGCTTTCGAGCAAGGGAACCTTTACCTTTACTTATATATTATCATCTGAGTACAGTGCTGGTGAATGGTGTATATGGATAATTGTGATGTATTTCCTGGCCAAGATTCCTTTCCCCATGTTTTTCTGTTCTTAACTGCTGTGTTTCTGTGGGGATAGAAGGTCAGTGTATCTGCTGTCTGCTCAGTGTTTTGGTAACAGAACTGCGTCTCAGATGAAGGTTCTCAGTTGTCAGTTTTTTACATAGATGCTTTTTCACGTTTGGTAAAATTTTTGTTCGTTTAGCATCTTTCAACCCAACTTGATGTGCACACACAGCACCAAACACAAGTGTAAGGAGAAAACAATTGACAACACGCTACTAAAAAATGGTGATTCTTTGGGACTTTTGTGTAAAAGCATGTGATATAGCTGGTGTTCTTAAGTCATCTGATCTAGACCCTATTAAATGTATTTCTTGTTCTGCTGGTTCCTGTAGTGTGTACTGCTCACAGATTCTAGCATGCTAATACATTAGGTATCTGATTTTTCTGAGGGATTTTCAGTTGGACTACTTTTTGAGATCTCTCTTGGTCTCCCAGGACCTAGTGTGACGCGCTGACCACTACACCATGCTGGCTCAAGGGGTACATGCTTATTAATGATCTTTAAGACTTTACTTGCTGTGGAAGATCTGGAAAAGCATACTTGATTTTAGGGAGTTACTACTGGGGGACGGACATTACTTAATATGATGAATGTTAGGTGTGTGTTTTTGCATTAGAGTACTGTGGCTGTAATCCATAATTTATTTTGCAAATCTACATGCTGTTTCCTTAGAGACCTGTTTGGGATTAATATCAATATTAAATTTCCTATTGATGTTAGTTGTTGTCGATTGTAGATTACATGTAGTTTTTAAGCATGAGGTTTATTTTTATCAGTTTCTATCCTATCTTTCTACTGAGTGCTCAGAGTACCATATAATATTTAAAAATATTAACATGCAAAAGGTAAAACAGCAGCAATAGTGACAAACCTACCATATGCTGTATGTACCAAGACAATACACATATCTCGTGCTTGGACTTAACAAGAAAGAACCGTGTTCCTTGAGATCTGAAGAAGGCCTTGCTACCCAAGCTCATTTTTACAGGCCAGCTTCAGGTGGGTAGCTGTGTTGGTCTGATGCAGCAGAACAAAGCTTGAGTCCAGCGGCACCTTTAAGACCAACAAAGTTTTATTCACGGTATAAGCTTTCGTGTGCAAGCACACTTCCTCAGATACAGTGGAACAGAACCTTCTCAACCATTACTTATAGGGGCTGGGGGTTGTTAGGAAGGGCCATTTAGATGCATCTTGATTCTAAATGGCCCTTCCTGACAACAACCACCACCCCATCCCCTATAAATAATGGTTGAGGGGGTTCTTTTCTACTGCGTCTGAGGAAGCATGCTCGCACACGAAAGCTTATACCATGAAAAAACTTTGTTGATCTTAAAGGTGTCACTGGACTCAAACTTTGTTCTTTTACAGGCCAGTTTCACTTGTTTTCAGAAGAGCTAGTTTGAATTGCAGTACTAACTACTAACACCAGTAGAATCTTTGTAAGATGAAGCTTCTAGTTAAACTGCTGTGTTGTGAACATCTAGTTACTTTGTGAAAGGAAGATGAAGGAACAACATTACATCTGTATAAGTTACATCAGCTCA